TACACGACTAACACAGAAAACCCCTTAAAACCCTAAACACCCAGAAGGCGAAAACCTGTTTTTTCGCTTCTGGGCTCCTCGACTAAGCTCGATACTGCTCAGGAAAACGCGTTTTGCCGAGAAAGACAAGAGCTTTCAGATCCGTGGGCTCAGGGAGAGGATCTAGGAGGAGGGTGGAGAATGAGAAGATTTAGAGACTGGAGAGGAAAATGGGTAGATCAGAAAACAGACAAGAGGAGACCAGAAGAGGGACGAGAGACAAGAAACTGCAGCCAATGAAGCATCTAACTCACCCGACAACACAAGCATACGGTACACAAAAAACGTAAATTGGTGGGTTTTGCCAAGTGAGGCAGTGAAAAAAGGCGATCTTTTTGGAAGCAGAGATTTGATAATTGATTTCCCTTTGTTTTTTCCTCCACGCCTCGGGGAAAAAAAACCCAATAGAATATATATTTGGATGGTTCTTCTCTTCACGAAGAGATCTGACATCCAACAAGATACTGCTGAGGTTCGAAAGAGGTTTTTAATAAAACAATATGATCCTTTTTTAGGATGAAATATGACAAAATTCCAGCTACGTCATTATCCTTGTACTTTTTATTATTCGTAGACAAAACACTACAAGAGTAAAAAATGAGTAAAGGAAAAGACAAAGAAAACAAAATAATGTTTCAGAGGAGGTTATCTTCCCTGGTCGGTAATCTTCTGAAGAAGTTGTTTATCCCTGACGGCAAGTCGTTGCGTAGGCATGGAAACTGGACTAACCTGATGATCCAGACAAGAAGCAAAACCCTGGTCAGATACCCAAAGTATATCATGTTATGGTACAGCACAAGGCAGATCGGGAGGCTTGAGATAAAAAAGTAAAAGGTAGCTCGTTCGTCTCTCCAACTCATCAGCGAGCAAATCCTCTCGCCTTGAGAAGCTAAGTCCCCCATCAATGTTGTCACCCTCTCCATCATCTTCCTCAGTCGGTCGTATCTCATTCTAAGCACATTTATATCCATTACAGAGGACGGGAATGTGTCAAACTCTTCGTCCAATTCATCTGGGTGAACCAAGTCGAGCTTGGAGAGTTCTGCATCGATCGCAAAAGGATCTTTCCGACGGTTGAAATCGACAATTAAATTCCGTATTACGATGATGATGCATCCACCAAGAGCCAGTAACGGTATAATCTCCGGACACCAAAGAAATAAACCACAGAGAACGACAATCGCCATCTTCATAACCCATTCTGTGGATGTGCTTTGATTGTTTAACCAAACGTACGCAGTTAAAAACCCTTCTAATACTTTGCAGAGCCTATCGAAATTGGCTTTGGCTTTTCTCATGCTCCATCTCTGAGCCCCGACGTGTAGTATATCTTGCACGACCTCACTCCGTAATGGCGGCTCCATCCGTGCTAGATTCTGGCAAGTTGCTTGAACAGCTTGCTGACGCAGATTTTCGATCTGAAGTATCGATAACGGAGATTTATAATGCATTTTCGGGAGCATCCAAGAATAATAGGACTTTATCCAATTGTAGTATGACGTTGTTCTATTGAACCTCACTGCAAGCTGAATCTCTCCCATCTTCTTCACACCATTTCGTCCTAAATCTATGATCGGAAAAGAGCAAGCATAAATCTTATCCGCTCTGAGCAAACTGATGCGAATTCTGACTTTCCCGATCCGAACATCTTTTGTAGGAATATTAGAGCCAAAGATCTGACAGTTATCGTACAAGCCAAAGGTTACGACAGTGTACGCATCATAAACCTCCCACGTGTATTGCTCGTTCCACTTCGGTGACAAACTATCCACCACAGTTCTTGTCCTAATCCATTTGTTTCCATACTTAGCCACAACGTATGTGTCCGCACTTTTCTTCCCGTCAGTCCATGTTTTCATCGGTTGAAGGCCCGTTGCACCCAAAATGCCAATCTCTAATGTGCCGATCTGTCCTGACCACAACGCTTTTGCAAAGGCTCGATAATCACTACAGAACTGGCTTGACTCGTCGAAAACATGGTAGGCTTGTTCGGTGGACAACTTCATCTTGATCTTGCTGGCGAAATTCCTCACACCCACGGGTTCAACCTTCCCTGGCATCTCGATGTCGTAGAAAAGTGCAGGTGCAACCCCCGGTAGCTTAAGTGGAGTCATCTCTGAAAGTTTCTTCTTTAGTTTCCCTATGCATTCTTCATGTTCATCGTCGAGACAATCCATCAAACTGATGAAGACAGTGCCCTGTAAAGGATCAGATGCAACAAACATAAGATCTTGATTCCATGACGGGTTTGGACCAGAAGCAACTTTAGTTTTCAGAGCCACATTCCCAAGAACCGCCTTCACATAAACCTGTGGTGTCCTGTTCTTATCGGTTGCAATCAAATCATGGGCCGAGACGATATGAACCCTCACATAACAAAGCCGTGGAGCCATATAGACCTTCGGATGGGTATTGATCATGGTGTCTGCACTCACACCCGACGTGTCTGAAAACCAAGCCACTGAATACACTTCATCGGCCTGTTCCCAAGAACCGCCTTCACATAAACCTGTGGTGTCCTGTTCTTATCGGTTGCAATCAAATCATGGGCCGAGACGATATGAACCCTCACATAACAAAGCCGTGGAGCCATATAGACCTTCGGATGGGTATTGATCATGGTGTCTGCACTCACACCCGACGTGTCTGAAAACCAAGCCACTGAATACACTTCATCGGCCTGAGTACCGAACCAAAGCGACATCAGCAGTTCCACTTGACTATCGGAATAGTCATTGCCACTGCCCGGTAGAGCATACCACTGTGGTGAAA